AAATGGTGACGTGTTCAATACTTATTTTACCCGCTGTACATTTAATGATCTCGTTTTTTAACAGAGTTTTAAAATTGTACAAATACTGTAGTTTTCTAAACATATATATTTTATCGTTAGATTGGGCGAACAGAGAAGATCCAGAACTGCCTTAATCCCAGGTTTTCCAAGAGGCTCGTACTGGACTATTACTTTGAGATGGTGCAGAAACTCAGGTTTGAAGTGTACGACATCGACAGTGAAAACTGTAGTCTGGCAGAGGCGGACTTCCTGGGGCTGATGGAGTGCACCCTTGGACAGGTTAGTTCTCTCTTGCTAACTGGTTCCAGTCTTTTACCAAAAGTAAAAGACTGGTGGGTTGCAAAAGTTATTATTATTATTTTTTTTGGCCTTCAACGTTATATTTATTAGGATTTTTGATTATGGACCCACACAAAATAATCCATATATACTAGGGGTGCAACGATACAGAAAATTCACAATTTGGTTCGGTTTGATACTTTAGTGTCACGGTTTGATATGTTTTTGATACAAATAACCGAAATTTCCATGTCTCTTTTAACTTGTAATTTATTGAAATTATTTATGAACATCTGTTTAACCTCAAAAGTACAGCTTTTAAATAAAATTTAAACTTAAATTTTGCTGAAACAGCAAGTTTCTCAGTGGATCAGCGCTCSAAAATACAGCCTAGATGGAGTAGTTGAACACAGATCCTCTGATCCTTCAACACAGAGCATCTTCAGAAGACAAGTTTATAAAATAATTTTTAAAAATCTGTATTGTTCGATACAAGAGTGTATTGAACCTAAAGCACTGTATTGAAGGGTTCGATAGGGGTACATGTATTGTTGCACCACTAATAAATACATATTTAATCTACATTTTTTATTTTCAGCCAATATTTGTGTTTTAAGAAGCTATATATTGTTGGAAACATTCAAGCGTAGCTGAAATGTGTCTTTTTGTTCAGATTGTGTCCTCGAGTAAACTAACGAAGCCGCTAGTTTTGAAAGATAAGACACCTGCAGGAAAAGCAACAATCACTGTGAGCTCTTTCAATTATTTTTATTTTATTACTCATTATGATGTCATTCATGTGTTTTATTTATATCTTTACTTGTTTAGTGGTTTTAAAAGAATGATGCCTTGTGTTAGATTTGTGCAGAGGAGCAGACRGACAACAGGGTGGTGGCGTTTGAGTGTTCGGCCAGAAAACTGGACAAAAAGGTACTGATCGCTAATGAGTAACTTAATCAGGTTCCGTTTGTCACTCTGCATCAAGCTCTGATTGCAGGACAAGGGATCAAGACCGTAGCTGTTTTTTTTTACATTTCCATCAAGAAATCACATCTGTCAGCTTTCTTCATAAACATCCTTTCTTCCTCAAAGAATCCAAAGTGCTTCATAAACACAATATCTAATAAAACAAAGAAAAAAAAGCAATGAAATAAAATAAAATAGGTTTTGAAATTACTATTTTTTATTTTACTGCTAACTTGTAGCAATAAAAGACCCATAAAATCATTTAAGCGTATACATCTACGCWGGTGATGCGGGATTATAAGATTTTTAACACAGGAGGGATTTTGGTTGTTAATAACTTTAAATGTTATGAGTAGGATTTTGAATGCATTTCTCAGCCTCACAGGAAGCCACTGTAAGGAGGATAAAACAAGAGAGATATCTTTTCAGAACCAGTCTTTACTGTAGCAGCATCACTTTGAATCTGCTATTGAGTTTAAATAAATAGTGTGGCTTTTTTAAAGTTGTTTTCTGCATAAAAGTTAAAACTAATAAACAATTTACATCTTCTGTTCAGGTTAATTGAGCACCTGGACTCCTACTATGAAGCAAAGCATTAGC